TAACCTACTCTATGCCAGATTTTACATGCTTTTCCGCAAGTAAAAGCACAGGGTACGATTTTAAAGCTCTGGAGAGAAAAAATTTGATATGTTTTACAACATATTTTTGTAAGACACAAAGTCTTTTTGATGAAAATCTCTGATTGAAAAAGGAAATATTTCCCCCCCCCCCCAGAAGAACTATAGTGAAGTTGGACAAAATACTGTACTCTGCTACGTCAGGTGTGTCTCATTACAAGTCTGATAGAGTTCGCCAGACAAAATGTGATAGAATACTTGGCTTCAGACCATAAATACCAAGAAACAGACAAAAATAATCTGTTAATCATTGTTTAAAATCTGAATATTTATATTTAAGATTTTAAAAAATACATTTAGCTGGGGAGTTACTTACTAGATTTACGTAGATTATCCAATTCAATATTCAAACGAAATTTTATACTTCTTGAAAAGGAAAAGTATACAATACTTGGAACGGATATGTGTGATTTATGAGCAAGCGGTTTTTAAAAATATTTTACACAGCTGTTCATTATCCATAAATATGTTTAATTAATTCTTATTAGATAAGTAGTCTTGCGTCTATATATAGCATTATTCATGTATCGGTACATGCAAACAAAGAAGGGAGTTTTCTCTATTATGCAGATGCAGATAAATCACTGACAGTAAACTAAATTGCATAAGATAAGAAGATGAGCTAAAAATAGTGCCATGCTTAATATAGACCTGTGAGTAAGTTAAACAGGAATTAGATTAAGCAAGCAGATGGATAGAATTACTATTGACACTGTCACCATTACTACTATAAGGCCTGTAGAGTTACTAATAACACTATCGCCATTATTATGAGGTGTGTATAGAGTTACTATCAACACTATTGCCATTACTATGTTAGACACTATCTTCATTACTACCCATTAATGACTTCATTTTGGAAAGTGACCCTCTGATTACTAGTCACCAAAAACACGGTAACCAATCTACAGTAATACCAGATAAAAACGTGGAAAATTTAACATAAATTTAATAAATCGTTATGTTTTTAATCCCAGTAAAAACCTACAGTAAATACACTTTTTTTTATAGTTAGAAAAAAAATCGTGAAAAACGGGTTCAGTGGTAAAGAATAGAACCGTTCACATCAAATTCGTACGATTTCCGTGCGCGATGTGAACGCAGCGTTCAAGAAACATAGCAACTCATGATTTTTTGTCCGGGCTGCGGACAGGATCCGTGTTTGATGTGAACGTAGCTTAAGGACCCCTATGGAAATAAACCTGCTATTGGTTTTCTTGGACTATCCTGACCAATGTATGTTAATGTGATAGTCCAAGACGGTGTGACGGTGAGAGCGCTGCATTTCTTCTCATTTGCTTCAGTGTTCTGTATTTGCATATCCAATGCAAGTACACAGCTGTTTGCGACCGTAGTATATATGCTTTTGCAGGTTTTCGTTTGTTCCGTTGCCCTGCCCTGCGTATGTTAATTTTACTCTATTGGCAATATGCAGTTCTGAAGTCCTTGATATTTGATTAATTTGCTGTTAGCTCAGCGCCCAGTAATAGTTGGTATTACAGAAGTTTTGGTGGAGCGGCCAGTAATAGTCTGTGGTTACAAAAGTTTTGTTGGAACGTCTAGTAGTCTGTAGCTACAGAACTTTTGTTGAAGCGTTAAGCCGATTCTAACTTGAGGGTGTTTGTTTTGTCTTATGAGCGAATAAAACGTTTAATGATTATCAGTAATACAGTGTACCTTGTGATTAATTACCAACTGCATTGATTCATAACTACTCAAGGAAGATTGTACATCCCTTCTCAATATCTTCTTATAATCGAACCACAACATTAATATGTTTTCCAATTTACGTTTTTCTGTCATTTTTAATCTTTGCGTGTTTTTGTTACTGTAGACTTTTGTCCGAATAAATGAATGAATGAATGAATGGATTATTTGATTTGACATTGTCTAGCCTTGCGGCACAAACATTGAACACAAGCCCAAGCTCAATAGACTTACATAACATTGAAGGACTTTTATTATTAGTCCTATATCCATTTTCATCAATGAAAAGTCTAGGTATGCTAGGAGTAGAAAATGTAAAAATAAACTCACATTGTTGCAATTGTTAAGCGAGCATCGTAAACTTTGACCAAGGGTTTTAAATGTTGGATATGAATTTGATTGCATTTAATTTGCAACGATATGGTGCATTAGATAATGCAACTTGTACTGTAGCCTAGGCCTTGTCAGTGTTTCTCACACATGAAATATTTTATTACTGTACCTGATTAAATATTCACAATATTTGCTGCCCTACCTTAAATAAAAATTATTCTATTCATAATCAAATTTATTAAAAAGTTTTTGGGTTTTTTTTTCCCATTGCCATTAATAATTAAAACTTTGTGGACTCTGAGTTTTAATAGCTAACTGTGAGTTATCCTTGTCATGAGCAATATCGAATTGTGCGATGGATTTTAGCGCTAAAGGAATACCAACGATTAAAGATTTCTATCACCTGGCTGATGCTGGCAAGAACATGATATAAAGACTTCAGTGTAATAATATGCATCTTATTTACAATTAATAATATAGGCCCTACTTAATGATTGATAGTATAAACCAGAATCTAATTTTGTGCAAAGAATGTGTTGTGAACACACTTCTGGATCTAAACAATGGATTAAAAGGCTTCAGAGGATGAATTTCCTTAGGCCTCTTTGATCTATTACCACTTCTATGAGATGTATTGTGATTTTATTTGTTAATCTCAACATTAAAATTAGTAGTACCTACGTATTTATTAATAAGTCAAATTTGTACAAGTAAATTTCTGAAGATAGACGAATCAGGGTTGAAAGATTGATTGAATCAAAATGGGGGGGGGAGGGGTGTTGGGGGAAGTTCGTCTCATACTGTGTGTGTACTGTACATTCATTCATTCTTTTTTTATTCATTTATTTATTTATTTGACCAGTATTGAATTGTAGACAATATTGAATTATGTGATCATGTGTGTTGTTGTGTTCTTACCTTTGCACCCTAGACAAGTATACCTACAGTAGCCGGGATCTGTTCCAGTATCGTAGTAGAAGTAAACAGATCAAAGTGACAGAAAAATGATTAAAAAACAAATTAACATAATATGTTGGCTAGGGCATTCTGTATATTACATGCTATAGTTACATAAAGAAGTTCCTAGAAAATTGAGCATGATGGACAAGATTAAATATTATTAAATTAATTACACATTCATTAAATCCATTTGAATATGCTATTTTAATTAAGTCCGCCTCGGAAAAGAGCTGGAATTGTTATTCCTTTTCCTTGAAGAACATGGCCAATATACAGTAGGCTTTACCAACGAACCCTCCGGCCATCTTTGGACGTCCAACAATTATTTAGAACGGCCACTTTTACCGTGACGGCTTGGATGGCTTGGCCTAATCAGCCCAGTTTAGCATAATTGGGCCTGGTCTACCTTTAGCAAATTCTTTATATTCTTCAAATCTACAGTATCGAATTAAAGCTAAATCATATTTTCGTTTGATAAAAACAACATTTATTGATTGAACGTAATAGTTTCCATACCAATATTCGGTGGAGAATCCCAAAAATGTAAGGCTTAACCATTGCCTACCCGGTGAAAAGTTCACTTACAACAAGCGTCATGTTAAAAATTTATACCTCGCTGGAAAATGGAAGGTTCTGAGTCGCCCACAACGCATGCATGTGGCTCTGCAATATACCTGAGAATTGGTTCCCCAACATAATATTGTTGCTGTTCGTAACTCTGGTTATAAATTAATTCATGTAATACCGTAAAGAAGATTTGTTGTTAACCTTTACAAGTTAAATTTTATTAACCAAAATACAGTACGTCTAGGTCTATCTTTCGATTCGGAGGACCTAGAGTAGAATTTATAATACTAGACTAATGCGAGAGATGAAGGTGTATCTGCATAGCCTAGAAATACTGTAACCGTGCACAATCTATATATATAACTGAAATATCTTTGTGATAACTAATTACTAAAATAACAAAATTCCAACATTTGAACACCTTAAATGCCCTCTAAAGATCATAATTTTCTATTTTTTTTTCTTATGTTTTGGAGGGGCGTGGCCCCAATTGGGCATGGCCATCTGCTTCCATTGCCCACTGACTTCCATTTTGGATGGCCTATTTAATTTTTCTGGCTAAGCCCCAATGATTACTATTAGCGATGTCCTATTACATAGGTGGCCATCCCTTCCCATGACAGACACATGATACTCTATAAATTAAGGCATAACAAGGCTTATGGAATGGACTTGTTTTGTCTTGAGGAAAACTCCTCGAATCTGACAGGATTTGAACCCAGGACCCTGGGATTGGAAGGCGAGCGTCTTAACCACCAAGCACTTTACTCCGAATTAGCAAGCCTAGATTCATCATTAAGCATTTTGCTGAGTGGTAAGGTTCCTGCCTCTTACTGTACATTCATGGGCCCTGGTTTAAGTCTCGGCTAGAAAGTCAAGATTTTGAATGGTGGCTCCTTGAATATCCCACAGAAAGTTGGGTTGGTCAAGGCCGCGTTTGTACAGTATTAGAGTACCCAGTTAATGCTGGATAGCACGTTAATTGTACATTGATTGAACAGTTTTGTTATTCTTTTTCTTTTAGGGAAAGGAAATTGAAAGTTGAAGATATAAAGAAGAATATTCGAGATGCAATTTTGGTAAGATTTTAATTATTCTATGTATACCAAGACTTCCAATTCCATTACTTCACAATAAATAAATAAATACACTATCAGTCAGTAGCCACACTGGAGCCCTTTTTTTCATGCCCTGTCTCCCATCCGTGATGTTACATTTTGCCTTATGCTCATTAGCACAGTGTAACTGATATGCAATTATTCTCATCAAAATCCATATGAGATTTTTAGCCTCATTTATAATACACTGTATTGCATACACTGCATGCACTTTGTAATAAGTTAACATGTAAAGGGTTCAAGTATTGATAGCTGACAGTACTGCAGTTTTGGTGACAGATGAATAAGTTGGGTTTATTTTAATGAAAGCTGATGAACCCATCACTAAACCAAAATTACCTGGAGAAAAAAAAGCTTAACAATACTTGCTCTAGATATAAAAAATATTGATCAAAGCTAATTGGATGATAAAGGACAGTGAAAATTGTCACTTTGTTGAATTGTTATGTTAGCCACAAATTAGAAATTTCTTCTGATACAGGATGGTATTACGCACTAAATACTAATAATAGAACCAATACTAATTTTTTTGTCATTTATTGTCATTCCAAGAATGAAATTATCACTCCCAATTGACTAGAAATGTTACCTAATATAATGCAAATTTGATGATTACAGGATAGAAACTGATACAGTGTTAGACTAGCTGTGGATTAATCAATAAATAACCTATAAATATTAAAAAAGATTACTTTGTCCCTACGGTTAGATGAAGTATTACTTTCTTGGTCGGTTTTTTTTTTTTATGTTTATGTTTTAGCACACGGGTCTCCATAATATGCACTCTATAAGTCCACAATTATAAATACTATTAATTAATAGCAATAATGAAGTAGGCCACTCAGAAGCTATAGCAACCTAGCAGAAAACAATAAATGGAAATTAATATTATTTGATGATTGAACACGTTGTCTATCCTTTCTTTCTAGACTATCTCATACGCCAAGGCATGATGGGCGCCACCCTAATGAAAATCATTCCTATCAACTGTAACACAAACATTCCGTATTTATTTTTAGATCATTTACTTCCAGGTACTTCCCCTGAGCATGCAAGACGCGAGTTCACATTCGTGTTCTGGGAACTACTGCCGGCGAATTTAGGTGCAATACAATTTTAGTAGTGTGCTAGGACAGGAGGTTGGACGTAATCTCGCCTCCCTGGCTCCCTGAGCAAACCCTGTCAAACGTGAACTAGTGTTAAAAAAGCATTGAAAACATGGTTGTTTCCTCCTCTTTCAAATTTTGAAAAATATTATATAATATATATAATATATTAGTATAATATATTATTATATATTATTATATAACGAGTTGGTTTATTGTCTTATAGACTGTCACAGGAGCAATGAGTACTCTCTCACCACCTATACAGTTAGCCAACCCTAACAACCAATTCCGATTGGACTACATTCAGGATGTTTCAAGTGCACCGAATTTCGCCTACCCAGACGTAAGTACAATGCCTCAAGCTTTCTTTCTGTGTTTAGTGGTCATGTGACTAAAGAGAGGCCAAACATATCTTGTGTAGGGACATTCATTAATAATTGCCTGTTCTACTTAAGCCCCGCCCCTTGGATATTGTTGCCAGGATCCCACAACAAGACAAATTAAATGTAAACACATGCTGTTTGTGGGATAACATATGATTTGTTGACAACATGTGTTTGCGCGACAAGCATGTTCCTGTCTCTCTTCTGATGTCTGATTTGTCCATTTGCCACCATTGTTACGTTAGAGTTTGGCCAGGATGTTGACAGGATTGACTTGATCACCTTCAAAGTCAAATCTCGACAGTTTCTTCCTCATTTAGAGCATTCGTTGGCATGCTTTGGTAGGTAGTAGGACAAATATGTAGGCCTACATACTCGTTTTAGAACCATGTTCGTCTCGCTCTCACTCAGCTGATCGACTACTTTAACTTCCGACATTTCCTGAGTTTTACATAATGTGTGGGTCAAACCATCGTCTTCAAAAGTTGGTCGTATAAATATATGAGAAAGTTATTGTCGTCTTTATTTCCTAATACTGATTTATTTGTCGTTGTATCAAACTGTTAAAGTTGTTGTGCCATTCTGCTTTTCATTTTCACCTCTGTTCCCCGATTTTGCTTCATATCGCTAACTGCAAATGCACAACATTATCATAAACAAGAAGCACCTATCTTAGACAGATCACTTTATTTGAGGTATTTTTAAAAGGAGTTTAATTTTGAACTGTTTGCTATTAGCAACAAATAACCTTTAAAAGTTGATTACTTGTTTGTTTGCTATGTCATGTCATGCCTTATTCTCATCTTCATACCATATTATTTTTCCCTATGACAGCATCTTGAAAATTGACCTTCTTTGTTCCATCAGCAATGTTTTTCTTATTTTAATACATCTCTACCATCAAGTTCCAGAAACTACTAATGATAATGAGACATTAAATCCCGAAAAAATTGAATTGAAGTAGGTTTCTTGTGTAAGAGCGACCGCTCACCGATCCGCTCGTTCCTCCACTCTTTAAATACGGTATAGGATTTTTTGGTAGAGCTAAGAATATATGAATTTTTAAATAATTAGAATGTTTATTTGTACAAAACAAATTATTATTTAGAATGTTCATTTGTACAAAATTGAAATACAGTATCTTAAAATTTAAAAAAATATAATTTCTTAAAATTAGAAAAAGAAAAAAAAAATTAAATACCAAGATGTGATTCAAAGTCACAACCTTAAGTTCTTTAGAACACATCCTTAACCGACCGCGCCATCCATGCAATGTGCCCAATTAGTAGAGTGGCAGTAATGTACTGTTTTGTTTTGTAGGTGTAGGGGAACCCTGGGGTTCAATATAAAAAAGGGCGATGAACATTTGTTGAAAATGACCTAATTTATGTGCACAAAATTTCCTGCACGTCCGTTCAAAACTGGCGATGCTAGACACTTTTAAATTTCTGGTAATAAGAACAAGAACAGCAGTGACATCTCCTATTACATCACAGTGCTCCAGTCATCCTGAGATGGTGGCGTAATTGGTCAATAGCGTGCAGCTATTTTGGATTCAAAAATGCACAAATGGTTCTTACTGTATCTTAGTGTTTCACATTCTCTAATGTTTAATACTATACATTATTCCCATGTGTCATTCATCATTCCTATCTCCTGTGTATATATATTTTTTTCATAGTGTATGTCAATACTTATTCTCATCTGTATAATTGTCATTATGTTCCCTTTACTTATTGCCATGATGGTCTACATTGCCTTGATGGTGTTTTTCCTGGATATAGTTAACACAAGAAATTACTGAACTTTGCTCCTTATTAATTTGTTGACAAAGGTCATAGATTAAAGAATTTCTTGCAATGGGCGGTAATATAATTTGCAGTCTTATAACACATCGTGCCGTGGCCTGTATGAGCTTCACATTATAATCCCGCTCATTGGCCTAAATGCCTATAGAGAAATGTATGTGGCTCCCTGTCAGAATATACCATAATATTGCCAGCTAATCAGTGCATTTCTCTCTAGAGGGAAAGAAGCTGGGGCTTATAGCCAAGATTGTCCTTGGGAGGGGATGTTGAGATGTTCAGAGGTGGATCAACTGGGGTCAGGTTGACAGAGCCGGTTGGATTGCAGCTTTGATTTTTCATTACTAAATTGCAAATTTAGTCCCCAAATGCTGGCTTAAAGATAGATTACTGGTTAAAATCAAAGATTTACAACTCCCTTTAAATGTTAAGTAACATGTCGTTAGCTGGCCAAAAATAAGGTGACGTTTTTGTGATTTTTAAACTTTGAGCAGAAGTTTTTTACCCAAATTGTCAGTAGAAGCACATGGGCGTGGGCAGCCCACACTCTCCCGTAGATATGCCAACTGTTAGTCAAGTTGATTATGGTATAGTTTATGTAACTAGAAAGATATTAAATAAAATTCCTTGAAGACAAATATTTTGAAGATTATCTTATTCTAGGAAATCTTATGTAACAAATAAAAAAAAAACCATCATTTTTGATAGTATAAATATAATGAATTTGAAAATGTTTCGAGAAAATATACTTGCCACCCACAAAAGTTAATTATTTTATTATCATATCTCTAGATATTTTGTTATTGAATGGTGTGACCAATATCCAACAGATGTAAATTGATATCTGGTTGTCTTTTGGACAAATATCCGTTCTATGCTGGTGTTGTCAGCTGACGAAAGTTAATGAATGACTATACCTATGATGCACAAATCTAGAAGAATAACCTTAGTTACCTAGAAAAACTAATGAGCAAAGTGCCTCTTTCATCATAAATACTACGCCTTTGTTTTATAATAGGCTCGTTTCAGTCTCTGCTATGATTAATATTAGACTATTTTATTTGATAATTCTCAATAGTATTTTACTGTATGTTATGAAACATGTACGTTATGAAACGTGTGTGTGGGTGATAGCTTGTATCGATCAATAAATGATATTATTTAGTCTTAATAAATAGCGCTGCCTCGTTTGCTTTTTATTAGTGATAGTGATTATTATTAAGATCTCTATTGGGACAATAATAACTGTTTATTAAATGATCATAAAACAATAAATTTCTACTTCTAAAAGTCTTAATCTATTTTTATGTTAACCTATGACATCTTGCTGACCACTATGGGCTTTTTTGTATTTTTATTTATTTTTTAAAATTATACTGGAAAACAATTTTAAATATAGCTAACAGCTCTACCACAGGGGTTTGTTTTTTTTATAACTTATTATCATAAAGTTTTATGAATTTAAAATTAACATTACAACTAGGCCTACCAGCAGGGACGGATCCATAAATTTTCAGATTGTAAAATTAAAAAATTACTTCCACCAAATTGGCGGCTCGTGCTTTAAATTGTTTATTTCCAAATGGGAACTTGTTCTTGTTTAAAATAGATGGAATTTTTTTAATAATTATTATTTCAGAAATAATATTTTACATTCTTGTTAAAGTATATTGTGGAATACACTTTTTTTTTTATAAGAACAGTGAGGCTGAAATTGCTTAAGCATTAAGAACAAAATAAGAACAAATTGAGGCTGAGGTAAAATGTCAACTGAGGTTTCTATAAAAAAAAAATAGAAAAACCAAGAAACTGTCTGTACCTTATGTGTGGTGTGACTATATAATAACTACACAATACCCTCTTTATTATAGTACAGTAATAATATATGCTGCTGTAAAATAATAATGTTCAATGTTTGAAAAGTGTGTAAAAATAAGAACAAAATAGAAACATTTTGCAGCCAGAAATTGGCAAAAAATTAAGAACATTGAGCCTTTGCAAAATTTTACTAGTTCTATAAAAAGAAAAATAGCATTCTATTTACGAGGCTTAAGACCCACATTGTTTGCTCTCTTTAATCACTTTTCATTTTCTGCCCTTTGTGGATAGGATAGTCAGATGCCAGTGTTACTAGCGCTCTCTTGTGAATCATGTTCCAGCGAACCCTTATTCATTTGGGCCTCAAAGTGTTGGAGAACAGAGCTGCTGTCTTTCTCTTTGCCTCTGTGGTTGTTTGCTTTTCTTAGTCTTATTTTTGCATTTCAAGCGCATAGGGACTATTGCAATATGCACTTAATAAAAATATATAGCCATTACCATTGTGGTCTCCTCAACACCAAAATCCTATTTTCTTATAAAAAAATCATTATTTTCACTTGGTAAAAAAGATTATAAATGGGTTGGGAAGAGTATCAGAAGATTTAATATTGTATGAAGCTGATTAAATATATTTTGATGTCATACTGTACATTGATTCTACTTCAGTGATCACAATGCTGTCCATGGCTTTCCCTCTAAAGTTGGGGTCACTCAACTGTAATCTGACCTTTTTAACCTCTATCCCGACTACTAATGACAATCAAGTCAAGTGCTAGTCTGTATTTGGAAGCAATCATCTTGCTTGTGGGGACCATGGCAACTAGAGCTAAGCTTCTTATTCATCTAGTTGTCCTACACTCCCGCGAATGAATGACTACAGCTAACAGAGTGACCCATGCTGAATAAATCAACGAATGATTCACTAATATTAAAGCCTAGCAGATTGTTAAGTTTGTTTAGTTATTACTACGGTATGTGCATTTGGGTCAAATATTATGTACAGTTCTTTGTACTTGCTACTTATTAACATTGGTTCTAAAATAAACATGATCTCAATATTTTGTGTTAGTTTATGCAGGTCATCTGGTTTGCAAATTCCTTAACATACTGAGAAAACTGATTTAAATCCCTGAATAGTTTTATTCAGAAGTCCTGTAGATAATAACAATAATAATATTTGCAAGTTAACAGTGAATATTATTAATAAGCCAACAAAATCGGGCCTAAATCTTGGCTTATTGAATGTTTTTTTTCTTTCTTTGTTTTCAGTTTTTTTGTGTTTTTTTCTCGATTTGATATGGTTATATCATAACATATACAATTTAAAACTTGAGAAA